GGTGCCCATTGCCTGTAATTTATGATCTATTTCATCTACCTTGTCTTCCAGTTTAGAAGTTGTTTTGTTCAAGTCAGCAATCTTCTGATTATTCTCTAGCAGTTGCTTCTGAAGATCCTCCATCTTGGTTGAAAGCTGCTGTGACATGTCCTTCATTGTATCTTTAATAGGTTCCACAGCTTCTATAATTGTTGCTTTTACAGTAGTTGAAACTGTTTCTTGAATCAATATTTGGAGATCTTTCATTGTGGTCTGTGATAGGTTAGAGGTTACTGATTTTGTTATACCTGGTGAATTAGAAGGTTGTAGTTTGGGGGAGGTCTATTTGTGCTTGCCATTTTTAAAATAGGGTTATATAAGAAGACAAGAGAATCTCAACAATATTAAACCACACTATTTCTTTTCAACACACCTCTATGCCCACAGTGCAACTTATTGTTTATAAAACAACATTATAAGCACAATAGAGATAGAATACGTCAAAACCACATGAGACCCACAGTTTTATCAGTTATAAGCAAAACAACTGTTATCAGTTATAAGCAACTGTGACTCAATTATGCAAAATCAGTTTTGTTATGAGAATAAAATCTTGGCAGGCTCCCTGTTCTCCTTATATGGAAAGGACAGGGGGAAAAGGAAAGGAAACAAAAGAAGGGGGGGACCCCACTAGTTGTAATCCATATATTGGAATATCAAAGTGTAAAAAGTTTAAAACCAATTGCCATATAGATTAGTCTCTGTCTTTTTAATACAGAAGATTTTTCCTTTATTGTAGTTCCAAGAGAGGAAGTCTAAATCAAGGGTGTTTCTTTTCCCCCCCTTCTAAACGGGACAAAGTATCCAAAATCCAACTGGGGGGGGGGGGATTTCCAAGATTCTCCAATAAAATTACTGTAATCCACTTGTTTTCAGAAGGGGAAGTTTATTCACAAGACATCTGAATCTTTAGCCCTAAAAGAGAGAATGCAAGTGCTTCTCAAGTCTTATGCTAGCCGCAGGAAAGGAGAAGGTGGGGGGAAGCTCCTCCTCCACCCAGTCTTAGTCTGTGTCTTTTTAAATTTTAAAGGTCCTAAATGTTCAAGAAGAGTTTCTGGGTTTGTTGCTTAGACAGTTACTCACGGTGATCTTCTTAAGGTGTTATTAGGTAGAATTTCTAGAGTCCCTCTTGGTCGGGTAGTGACAGTTGGGTGCTCATGGCTGCCATGAGCACACTTCAACGCTTCTTGCTGGGGATGATCCAGGGCTTCCTGTGCCGCCACACAGACGGGGTGCCCGGATCAAGTCCCTTGCACTGCACGCCCCTCCAGGAAGTGCAGCAGAATTCGGGAGTCCCGATACTCCTCTTGCGTAAGCGCAAAGCCAGAGGTGCCAGGGAGCAAGTCCCGGTGCTGTCCATCTTGCCGCGCTGCAACCCGGAAGCTCCATGTTTAGGGTTATTGTACCTGAAGACCACAGCACACAAAGTCCTGAAGCCTCCTGGGAAACAGAACCAAAGATTCAACTATAGAGGCTGATTATTATAGAAATTAACATAACATAGGTGTACCAGAGGACTGAGGCTCAATCCAGGCCCCAATTCTGTGACACTTTGAATGCATCCATTCATGAACCACCAGGAACCACTACAAACAGCACTAAAGGTTTGTGACAGAGCCACCACAAACTTCAGTTCACAAACCACAAACGGAACAAAATATTGTCTCAAACTTTAGTTCATGAGCTGGTTCATGCCCATCCACAGTAGTAACCCAAGTGTTCCTTGGTGATGTCCCATCCAAGTACTAACTGTGGCTGACCCTTCTTAGCTTCCTAAGCTCTGACACGTTCAGGTCAAGCCGGGCTATTCAGGCTGTTAATATTAGCAAACAGTATATCTAAATAGCTGGCCTTATGGGGGGGGGGGGCGCGACACATGCTGGGATAATGGAGGGCAAAATGTAAGTAAATATACTTGATAGACATAATTCCAGTCACAGGATTTAGAGTCTTCATTCCCTTATTCCGTGAATGTACACAGTTCTGCCCAGAACACATATTTACTAGGAGAGCCATTAAATTCAGTGGAGCTACTTTTGAGAAAATATGCTTAAAAGAACATTGTACACAGGACCAAGACCCAATTGATTTTACGGAGGAGTTCAGCATATCAATGGGAGATATTTAGGCATATGCTTAACTCTCTCATGGGAACAAACAAGACTTAACAGTGCTTAATTATGGCTGGATCATGCCCTAGCTTTTTAAACTGGATTCTGATTCGTAAGGAGTTAGGCTTGAACCACACATTTGGTAGCAAACGAGGCATCTCCAGTCCTACATTGGTAAAGTGGGATGGAAAGGCAGTTGTAGGAGAGAACAAGTGGGTCAGAGGAAGGATGCTTCTTTCACCTTTGAATCTGAATCCAGTCAAGTACCTAGGGAGGAATAATACCCTGTCTCCTATAACTTCTGCTATAGAATTGCCTCCCCCTGCACAATACAATACGTTTTTGCACCTTTAACCATTTATCTTGCGCCCCGTGACAGGTTCTCATGTAGGCTCAAACCTGCATGCTTCACTATTTGATGCAGAGGCAGGGCCGGCCAACAAACAGTGAGCTCCTAGCTTAGATTCTCAACAATCTGCTCAATATTTCTTCATCGTTACAAGGAGTCTTCCAGGTTAATCTTGGAGGATGTGTTCTTGCACCAGTGAAATCAAAAGATATGAAATCAGCAAAAGACACTCGTTTACAGTGGCCATGTCACATCATCTGTGCAGGCAGTGCTCAGGATGCTTGGATGGGCTATTTGGTGAGAGCCAGTTTGGTGTAGTGGTTAAGTGCGCGGACTCTAATCTGGGAGAACCGGGTTTGATTCTCCACTCCTCCACTTGCACCTGCTGGATTACCTTGGGCAAGCCATAACTCTGGCACAGCTGTCCTTGAAAAAAAGCAGTTTCTATCAAGAGCAATGTTCCCTCTAAGCTGTGGAGTCTTGTGAGCAAAAATTCTGCTTTGTGAGCTACTGACATTAAAGTTGTGAGTGAGCAATTTGGCTACTGCAGAAATTAGTGTGCTCTGGAGCCCTCCTTCCTGAGCTAAGACAAAAATGCGTGAGCCAGAGGCTAAAGATCTGTGAGCTAGCTCACACTAACTCATCTTAGAGGGAACAGTGGTCAAGAGCTCTCTCAGCCCCACCTACCTCACAGGGTGTCTGTTGTGGGGAGGGGAAGGGAAAGGAGTTTGTAAGCCGCTCTGAGACACCTTTGGGTAGTGAAGGGCGGGGTATAAATCCAATCTCTTCTTCTTCTTCTTCTTCTTCTTCTTCTTCTATAGTTGAGGCCAGTGTTCCCTCTAAGCTGAGTTAGTGTGAGCTAGCTCATAGTTTTTTAGCCCCCGGCTCACTCAATTTTTTCTTCGCTCAGGAAGGAGGGCTCCAGAGCAAACTAACTTATGCAGTAGCCAAATCGCTCGCTCACAACTTTAGTGTCAGTAGCTCACAAAGTAGAATTTTTGCTCACCGGACTCCACAGCTTAGCGGGAGCATTGGTTGAGGCTGCACATCAGTATGCCTCTGAAGTATCTGATCAATTTGCACAGCTTTCTACTGATTTCAGACTCATAGATCAGCCAACTAGATTGTGGAGAAGGGTTGCACTTGCAACCTTGTTTCTCCTCCTTTTTGGTGTTAAATTTTAATTTTCTCTCTGTTAAATTTCTTAGCACTCTGTTTTAAATAACATTAAGTGTTTCTAAATTATACATAGACCTGCAAGCACTATAAATTCTGCTTAAGGATAAGGTAAGTACAGGCATAAATTATTAAAGTGTTCATATAAATATTACCATACTTGAGGGGTTGTGCTCCAAAGTTACAATTTAGAGAAACAAAATCGAAGGCAGTGACAACCACCACTACCACAACAACCCAAAAGTGACCTGAAATATTGATAAGAAAATCCTCTACATGGAAAGGTTTGAATGCTTAATATGACTAAGAGTCAAAGTCCCTCAATTCTCTCCACCTAACTGATGAGTTGTGACACAACCCCTAGGCAGGTCAGGAGAAGACAACACATGCCTAAATCAGGGGTCCTCAAGCTTTTTGAGGCTGTGGGCATGTTTGGAATTCTGACAACACATGGTAGGCACAGCCACAAAATGGCTGCCACAGAAGGCAGAGCAAGCCACAAAATGGCTGCTGCAGCTTACCTTCAGTGATACCATGAAGATCCTTGCATTGTGGTGGCAGCTGCTGCCAATATATTATACAGCCAATCAAATCTCCCATGGCCAATACCTGCACCTGGCCCTGCCCACTTTCTAAAAACACTTGGCAGGTGCCAGGAAATGTGTCAGCGGGTGCCTCAATACCCATGGCCACCTCTTTGGGGACCTTTGGTCTAGACTGTGTCCAGCTGACCAGAGACACTCCACTCTCACATGATCAGAACTGACAGATTTGATCAGTTGTTGAGCAGGAGGTGGAGGGCTTGTGGTGACTGTTTTCTAGATGGGTACTCTGCAGGGTTCCTTCCCTTCTGCACTTCCCCCTTGCACCGCTGGTATGTTTGATCCACAAGCAGAAACTTGGTTATGCTGGCAGAGTGGCCATTGTTGCAACATTTTATAAAGGCCCAAAGGACCCATGCAAAACCTTCACATGAACATGAGAGCCATGGGGGGGTTGGGGAAGCACATGTATTGAGCCATATATGCAAAGCCCTCATATTTCTGATGCAGGTGAGAGTACACACCTCCTCCTCCTCCATTTGGTGGTCTAATGATGTGTGAGCCATATTGCAGGGTCCTATGATACCTTAGAGACCAATTCAGTATGTTTTCAGTGGGGGGGGAGCCATCATATCTCTTACTTCAGCCTTTTCTAATTCCTTTCACCTCTTTAGAAACTTGACGGAAGACCCTGTGGGCTTGCTCCTCTCTTGCCAATGGGATGCTGCTTCATATATCACAGCAATCTGCCAGGAGGCATGAAGGTCTCTAGCGCTCTTACAGATGATCCTTAGAGCTGCCAGAAGACAGTCATTGAAGATGTTTGCCAAGCTGCATGTGCTTGCTCTGCTCTTGTTTTCCAAAGGATCCTTCCTTTCACTAGGGGACCACAATTTTGTAAGGAAAGAAATTAAGATTGAAGGAGATCTGGTTTTGGGTGGTTTGTTCCCAATCAAAGAAAAAGGCTCCGGGGCCGAAGACTGTGGGAGAATCAACGAGGACCGAGGGATCCAGCGCTTGGAGGCCATGTTATTTGCTATTGATGAGATCAACAGGGACAGCTATTTGCTCCCAGGAATTAAGCTTGGGGTTCACATTTTGGACACCTGCTCCAGGGACACATATGCATTAGAACAGTCGCTGGAGTTTGTCAGGGCATCATTGACTAAAGTGGACGAAGCCGAGTATATGTGTCCTGATGGGTCATATGCAATTCAAGAAAACACCCCGTTACACATTGCAGGTGTGATTGGAGGCTCTTACAGCAGCGTCTCCATACAGGTGAGACATCCAATTTTAAGAAAAACTACTCATCCTTCACTCACAGGAAGGAATTTCAGGGGGAAACTCACCTGGGAGCTTGTTGCTGTTGAGGAAAAGATAGAAAAAATAGCCTATCTAGCTGTGAAGATACAAAATGAGGCCATACTGACAGACAGAGCAGAGACTCAGATTCAGGAGGAGAAAGCAAAGATGGTTGGATGTGAGTGGTTTCAAGTGTTAAATGTGCATGCCACCTGAGGAGTTCAGCTCAAACCCAGCTTGCAGTCAGTGTCATAGACCTAGGAAGCAACAACAGTGGCAAGCGGCACCTGCTTCCTTCTGCTTGGTGCATCAATGCTTTCCTCCTCCTTGTGCAACCCCAAGAAGTTCATTGGGTGACTTAGATGGATAACCAACCTGGGTTGAGCGTATAAAAAGGTGGAGGGAACAGTCAGAGTGGAGACTTTGGAAGATGCTTGGAAAGCTTTGGCCAATGAGGACAACCCTGAAGACTGTTGGGTTGTAGTGCTCTCTCCCTACCTCTCTCCCTCCCACCCGCTGTACATAGGTTATCAGTGTAGTCAGACTCTTTGGAGAAGTACTCATATATGTGGCCTGTGCATCATCTGCATAAGGTAACAGGGGTACATGTGTGGAACCAAGTGTAGGGCTATGGCCATCAGCTCCAAACAGGGACAGTGCAAGACCATGAAGGAAAAGATTAAATAAAGAAGGAGCTAAAATGCATTCCTGTTTCATTCCTTTATTAGTTGGAATTTTGGGGGTTAACTTTCCAGCTAGGGAGCATTTAACCTGACGAGCCATAGAAGTATGTGATTTTCTGATGAGCAAAAGCAATCTCTTATCAATTTTCATTTTAATTTATCCCAGAGTAAATCTCTGTCTACAGAGTCAAAAGTTCCTTTAAGGTATAGGAAAGCAATATTTACTTTCCTAGTAGGATAGTACAGTGATCAACATGGTTTTCCCCAACAGCATAGAGCCTTCTCTTTGGCCAGATTTAACGTCATGCCATCAGCAATTCTGTATGGCAGATTTCAAAAGGTAGCCGACTCTGCTAGACTCTGCCTGTGTAAGTTAAAATGTATTGAAACAAACTCACATATCCTCTTTTATTGCCCTTTTTATGCAAAAAGTCATTTTAAGTATCATGACCCTATTCTTGAAAATAAGGTGGGATTGTCTGATCATATTAAGGTCCGATATATTTTGAATGATGTTTTTCCTAGCAAACTGAGCAGGTAGTTTCATTTCTTCAATGTGCCATAAAGAGCTCTCAAAATAAGACACAGTGATGATTCGATGTTATATTTAAAATTTAACTGTATAAATCTTTCTTTTTATTCCTCTTATTTTGACAATGCTGTAATCTGTCCTAGTTTATTCTGTATGCCATTAGAGGTTTGATTTGATTAGAACATAATACATTGGGGAGAAAAATTCTAACATAGGCCAAATCTGCATCTAGCATTTGCTCCGCTGTCTTACCAAACCCACACTGGAACAGAAATCTCCATCTGCATTGCATGCCACGTTCACTTTGACTGATTGTCGAATTTGATGGCAGCGTCCAGACTGCATGCCGCTTTCACTTTGTTTGATCTCTGGTTTTATGGTGGCTGTCTGCATAGATTTATGGCTGTTTTATGGCCATTCAGGGGTAACTTCGCAGTCAGTACGGCATTGGCCTGGGGTATTTGGTCGAATCTGCATTTGCATTTTTAAATCAGTTTTGTGCTGCTGTGATGCCGTCTTTCTCTATGCTTGTTTGAACGTTGTTTGGAGAAGATTCTTTTAAATCAGTGCGGAGGTGCAATGACAGTGGATCTGCCACAAAAGGGTGATAAACATATGCGGACGTGCAAAAGTATGCTAGCACTGCTGAGGTGTGAAAGCAAAACCAAATGTAGACAGCTTTTTTGAAGACAGAGTCAGAAGGCTGGGACACCGGTGGGAAAGACCAATGTAGATTCGACCTTTGAATGTGGTTTTCAGCCGCATCTTTTTCAGTTCCAATGTGGGTTTGGTACAACAACAGAGAAAATGCTAGATGCAGATAAGACCATAGTCCTTCACAGGCTGAGTTAGGTTTCCCAGGGAACATTTTTACACATGCCCTCCTTACAAAGCTAAGTGATAGATCAAAGGACATTGAACTAAAAGACAGTTGAACCAAGGACGGCTGAACTAAATATGACTTTGTCATGCAAAAGTCACGGAGTAGTTGTGAAGATCTGGGGAAGGCCCATAGCCCAGTGGTGCAGCACCTTATTTGCAGACACAAAGGGCCACATTCAACTGTCTACAGTTAAAAGAATCTCCAGTAGCAGGACTGGGAAAACTCTCACTTGAGACCTCAAGAGTGCCTGCCCCTTGTTTGGGCAATACTGTGCTAGAATCTTCCAGTGGTATGGCTGAGTATAAGACTGCTCCATATGTAAAAATTCCAAGTCGCCTCTGAAATTGTTGCAAATCTTGAAGTGAGTTCAGCAGTTGTTCTTCTACTGCGACTGGGGGCCAACTTCTGGAGCTTGCCCTCTGGCCTCTATTTTAAGGTCCAAGTCACTGCCTTGACATTTCATGCTGCTCAATAAGTGTTTGAAGCCAAGAACCATGCAGGCTGCATCTATTGCATTTCTGTCCACCCAGTTAGGGGAAACAGAGTTGAGAGGATGAGAAGACACCACACACTTAGGCCTGCTCTTATGGTATCTTTGATGCAGATGCTCACGGGGCAGTGTGGGAATTTGTCCTGGTGAAATGGCTCTGTCATGATTAAATGGGCCATCACTTGCTGCCTTTTAAAAAAGACCCGGCTGTCTCCCGTTCTCTAGCCACACGTGGTGCAACCATCCTAGCCCAGGGCTGCTAACTCCAGGAAATACCTGGAGATCTGTGGAACTAGGAACTATTGGGTTTGATGAAGAAAGGGACTATGAAATAGAGGCCCAACTACTTTTCTCTTGCAAGTTGTCCAGATCTTCAGGTCTGGATCCGATTGTTCCAAAGCAAAGATAGGCTAGCCCACAACAGTGGTTAGGGAACTACCTGGTTGCTAGACAAGTAGCTCCAGTGATGGATTGGGACTTTGTTTTCTGACATTTGCCAGCTTTGCACTTGTGATGCAGGAGCAGGTGTCTCTACTATGGAATAATAAAACCTCACAAACTGGGGAGTATCCTTCTATGCTTATGGATCAGCAAAATTGGCTTGATTTGAATGTGTCACGAAAGAATGATGATTTTTGGGGGGATCACCCGATCTATCTTTTTCTATAACAAGAAAGTTTGAAGAACAAAGTCTGAGTCCAGTGGCACCTTATTCAAGGTATGAGCTTTTATGTGCGCACACACTTCCTCAGACACAGTGAAATGTAACTTACCAGTCCATACATACAAGGCAGAAGTTGAACAGCAAATTAGCATACAATATAATGAAATGTTTGAACAGATGCAAACAGAAATAACAAGCTAAGTTTGTAAGGTCATCATTGTTTGTATTTAATGGGGGGACAGCGAGGCAAATAAATATGTCAAATTTGGCAATAGATGTGTAAATGTATCTTTCTTAATTGTGGAGTGCTAAGAGCAATCATCGGAGACCCTGCTGTCACACTCCAGCCGTGTCCACTCATGCATGAAGGTTACTAATAGCATCTTTTTCTTTGTGGTGGAGTGATTTGTAGTGCTGTGTTATGTCTCCTCTGTTACCAGACCAGAGGAATGCATTCCAATACAACATTCTATTTCATTGAATAGCTTGAAAAATTACATCCCGTGTGATGGTACTCAATCTAGTATCAGACTGCCCTTCATTACTAGAAAGTATAATTCCATAACAAATCATTTCATATCATTTCCATAACAAATAACAAATTATTTCATACCACTCGTCTAAATGGGTGAGCTTTTGGCTCAAGCAGACCTTCTCCATTAGATTCATAGAAACCTCTTTCCCTCCTAGAGTGGGTAATCAAGAGCCTGCTGCAGATAAATATGGAATGGTTTCAGTTTATTTTTATGGCAGAGAAATATCTGTTGGGGATATGAGAGTTTGTTTCAGTAAAAGGACACAACCTTAAAGTGCTGTGCTGCATATAGTGTCCTAGCTCCGAGCACTGAAAGCAGCCGTCCATATCCTGACATTTAAGAAATAAGGCCCATTCAGATCTTCAGTTGGATACATGATACAGTCCTCCGTGCAATTCAAGCACCTTGGAAAGTACATAGGGCTTCATGAGAATCTCCCTGCATATGAACCAGCAACAAGGTGGATCGTTTAAACATGTGAACTGTCCCTATGCTTTGAAGGATGTGGTTGGAGAATTACTTTGGGACATCTAGCTCAGTAGATGCTGGTCCATCTAGCTCAGTAGATGCTGGTTCATCTAGCTCAGTAGATGCTGGTCCATCTAGCTCAGTATTCTAGAAGACAATGACTCTCCACAATCTTACGCAGAGGTATTTCCCCAGCCCTCTTGCCTCCAGCCTTTATTTGGGTGATTGATATTTGGACTATCCAACCTGTATGCAAACCATGTACTCTGCTACAACCTTGGGTAAACTTTGTAAACCTTATGAACATGCATGAATCCCTGGACCCAGAATGGAAATTATAAGGAGAAGGTGAATGCCTGTCAAGAGGAAATGAAGGGTTGTTAGATAGATACAGAAGGGTGTGTGAGTGTGTGTGTGTAAAGTGCTGACAAGTCACAGCTGACATGGTAACCCCAGCAAGAGGCTTTCAAGGCAAGTGAGAAGCAGAGGTGGTCTGCCATTTCCTTCCTCTTCAGACTCTTCCTTGGAGGTCTTCCTTCCAAACACCAACTCTGATTAGCTTCTACAGTCTGATGAGATCAGGCTATACCTTGCTGCCTTCCCTCTGTACAAACTGATTTTGCAACCAAACATTCCAAATTATCCATATAAGAACCAATAGGTATACTCTAGAGTGTCATAGCTGATCTTTACTGCATTGAGGATTTCTGGTTTTGCTGT